CATGTACATGAGCGTACATTTCTACATGTATGTTTCTGATGCTGAAATTCACCAAACATTTGTCATTGTAATATTGCCAAAATGGATCATTCGTGAGGATAGTTGCATATCGCACATGGTTTTATTTGAGAGTGTTACAGTTTGATTTTTTAAAATAAAACTTTCTCATCAGGAGTGTCCATCAAAGTAGAACACAGTGTTTTTACACTACACCTTTGAACTTGTGAAAGAGTATCCATGTTCATTTTTAACCTGAGTACAACATGTATACTGGTCTCTCTCTTTGTGCTAAAAATTCCTGCTTGCGGTGAAACAAAGAGACATGAATGGCTGTACCAGCGAAACGAACTCCTTGGACATGTACGCACGTCATGTTACCCATGCATGTGAGGATGTCCAAACATGTTTGCCCCAGGCGGTGATTTATTATGAGATGGTTTGGGGTTGTGGATGTGGTGTATGGAATTCCACACATGCCTCCTTCCTGTGTCACTGAGCAATCATAAAAGTGTGTGGTTCGCTGGCCTGCCAGTGGAAATCAGGCTGTGCGGGGCAACCCACACTGTGTAATGGCGCTGTACAAGTTGTTCAAATTAATTTAAACACTGTGTTTGGAACTCACCTTGACAAAGTTGTCTTGATTTTTTTATGCCAAGTATTCTAATGACATTAAGTGAATCATAAATGATTTCACTAAAAACATATGTACACTGTACATCCCCATTTCTTGTGTATAATGTGTACATGTACATACATGTACATGTATATTCCTACATGTACAATGTATGTGCAAATGTATGTGCACATACATTGTACACATGTACATGTATGCCTACTTCTTATACATGTCATGTATGTTTCATGACTTTACATATACATACATGTATGGGGCATAAAAATAGCACAGAATGCTGCTGGTAACAGTTTCAGAGGCCTACAATGTACATGTACATGAGCAACTGTAAACTACATGTATTTATCTTAATTTATCTTAAATTCTCCGTGTAAGTACACTTGACAAACTGAATGTGGACTTGTTTTGAGAATGTCAAGTTTTGAAAGGGTTCAAAATGGAGAGTAGCAAAAATGAGCCATGTGTACATTGTACATGTACATGTGTACGTACATACAAACTTGTACAATGTACGCACATGTACATGTATATATGTATGTATTATTCGCATGTGTATGTACAGTCTGTAGACGTCAGTGTGTACCGTATGCACAGGCATACATGTACATGTATTACTTGCGTTTGATGACCCTCTTCCCTCCCGTGGTGTTTCCTGTCCTTCTGTGAGTGACTCACTCCCTTCATAATGTCTTTGTTTTTTTTCATTCAATAATTGCGGTCAAGCCACGCACCAGGAACATTCTCCTTCATTTAAACACAAAGCTCACCATGTACATGTGTATTCAGCATTATTGTTCTCTTATGTTATGATATGCTATGTACATGTATACACTGTGTTTATTGAATGTATAATGAACATGGTGCCCAAAGCATGGCACGTTTATAGTACACTTTTGTTATGAGTGTTCCATCTGTCAAATAAGGTACATGTACATGGCACTGGCACATGTACTAGTAACAAATACATGTAGGCCTGCATGTAGGTTAATTGACATGTGGCAAACACTGGACACAATGGGCATTGTACAGATCTGTGTACAAACATACTGCATTGATATACACAGGGACATGTACAGTACATGACTATGCATGAATGTATTCCATATCTTGAAGCAATGTGTGCATGGTGTGTACAAAACTTGTGACAAGGTAGAAGAACTGTGTAGTTGACCAAGAAGGCCTACATGTACATGTACTGTACATGTACTCGCAAACAAGGATATCACATGTATTTCATGATATTTCAGTTCACACTGTCATGTGTAGACAGTTTCTTTCCCACGTCTTTGTTATCTTCTAATCTTGTCGCTCAGAGAAAACAGTTTCTGCAGTGTTTTTATTATTTCTGTCCTGGTTAGTTTAGTCTGCCGTGACTTTCTTCATTTCCTCCATTGTCTGGCCCACAAAGGAAATAATATGTCGAAAATCAAAATGTTTTGGCAATACACAGAACATGAATAAAACACTTTTGAGTGGCAATAACTTTGATTGTAAATAAAAGTAAGGCCAAGGTGTACATACGTAGAGAAGTTGCTGTTTTTGTGTACAAATATACACATTTATTCCACCCATTATTGCTTCATCTGTTATTCCATTCTGTGACTTGGTGTGGTGCCAACAACCCATTAATGACATGGTCTGCCATTTATAGGTTCTAGTGGTATACACGTAGTGAATGTAAACGCATTAGACCCACCGTATACTCAGTACTCGTGAAGTATATTTTGTTTTTATGCTCTTGAAATTTACCATTCACAATTTGACCAACTCGAGCTTTCTACAGGCAACTTGTGAATTTGAAAATGAAAATATTTATGATTTGAATGCATGCAGTTGAAACTTTGAGGTTCTACCATAGTAATGAATACATTTGTACATGTACATGTTTGTAGACATTTTTTTCTCAATTTCCCCTCAATCCATAGAATTATTTACATAGATACCGGTAGTTCTACATCTTTCTGCCTTTAAATACAGTCCCAAATATTACATGTACATTGTACATGTGACTACTGTATTTGGAATGTTGTTTTTTTGTACAATTGTAACGTTATGGTAACTACATGTATTTCCACATTTGTAATAGACCATTGAATAGGCAACAAGGTAGTATGGATAAATGAGTGTTTACTTAATGCACAATTTGTATGATAAAGACAGATAGTTGAGCCTAAAAACAGAACACCCAACCCTTTTTCACATTGACCTTTGATCTCTCAACCCAGGCGAGACCGGTCTGGGGAAGTCCACTTTGATGGACACCCTGTTCAACACACAGTTTGAGAGCTCCCAAGCGCCGCACAATCTCCCAGGGGTTAAACTCAACGCTAGCACTTATGGTAAAGTACCATCCCAGAGTCCTGCAGTAGCACTTTCTCAACCCCATCCATAATCCAAATGTCCATGTTTATTCCTGTTAGGTTGGAGGAGTGTTTACTTAAGGCACTCAGCCTTGTCAAAAGCCTGAGATGTGCAGAATGCTTAGAAGTGTTCAATTCTTGAGGGATTAGCACGGCTGTGATCAAGCATTAAGTCTGGTACTCTTGCACTCCCTCTATCTTTGTACACAAGTCTTGGGTTTGTTTGGCTGCTGTGAGTGTTTGGAGACAGTGTGCCGGATTGAACAAACACGTTATCTTCTGAACTTCTGTTTAGGAAGGATCTTGTCATATGTCATTCTTAAAAGATTGAATGTGGTCCATACATGTACATATTGAAAAAAGGGTAGGTGCCTTTTTCTCAAAAGTGGAACTTAACCTACTTGAAATTTACCCACGAGAAATTTTATTAAAAACTTTTACGAGAAAATGTTTTTTTGAAACCTTCACAGTACTATTAATCAAAATGTTTCAGGATGAGTGGAATTACTCTACTTGAAATTCACCACATGAGAGAAATCATGATCAGAAACTTTTAAAAGAAAATGTTTGAGAAACCTTGTGTTCTCCGTAATTTATTGATGAGAACTTTTTCAGAGAAACATGTAAAATTGGCCTGTAAAATATATTTCTATGTTGGATTCAGGCTGGTCACATCTTTTTCTGTGCTTGCTTGCAGAATTACAAGAGAGCCAAGTTCGACTCAAGTTGACCGTGGTTAACACTGTAGGCTTTGGTGACCAGATTAATAAAGAGGACAGGTATGTTTGTAATGGAATGTGAACATGTATGTGTGTACCTATTAATATCGTCCAGGGTTACATGCGAGTTGGTGACAGAGTTGATATAGTAAAATTACTTTTGATAAAATTTAGTGTCGCTGATTCTCGTTTCTTGCACTAGTCAAAGAAAGATCCCTTCAAAGTATGTCCAAAGGTTCCACATTCATCTGTAAGAGGTTGTGAGTTTTGCTTTTGGCCAGGGATCGATAGCCACAACTTGATGAGATAGTGCAAAATAGGATAGCACAGGCTGTTGATAATCCTTGTCGGTGTATCAGTTTTGAGTCAGGTGCAGTTATTTCCTGATTCTCTCGTGGGTCATGCATGTGTTTGTGTTCACACTGTTTATTGCAAGTCGATGGACAGAACAATACATAATTCTGGGTGTTTTATTGTAAATGCCTGCTAAATCAGTGCGCACATTTGTAGCTGTTGATAGGTTTTCCTGTGACGCCTCCTGTTTCTTTTACAACGTATTCTGTAGGAGAGATAACTATCTTATATTCTTGGTATGAAACAGTGGAAAGGCCATGAAAGTTTCGTGGGAAAGATGAGTGGGATTAACCCCTTGACGACGGGAATTTTTTTCCGAAAGCTGACTCCGAATTCCAGCCTCGCTTGGCCACGAAGGCCACCTGCCCAACTGCAAATTGTCGGTTTGTGGCCCTGTGTGCTCTGCGCACTTTGAATTACACAGTGAAATGGCTCATTGTTAGGTGGCATGGGGCTCTACTCATGCTTCCACATTCCCGTTGCCTCTTTTCAAAGTGGGGACTATCGTGAAGCTGGTGATTATGATGCAAATTCGGTCTTATCATTTGTGGGCTACACAAAAAGGCCAATTACCATATATACAAGAGCCAGGGTCTGCCTTCTTTCACCTTGTTCGCTCGAGTGTGGGCCGAGAATAATAGCTGAAAAGCAGGTTGAGAATCTCAATTTTTATGGCGGCTCTTACCGTCTCCCGGCGCGAAGGGGTTAATTGTCAATTACATTAGTCATTTAATTGTTGCCCATTTGGCCTTTTTTCTCAAATCCTTCAAAACCCAACCCTTCAATTAAAAAACAGCAACAACAACAAAAAACAATGATACCATCTCAGTGAAATTGTCAAGTGGCCTCAAATTCCATGCAAAGGAGCTGTAGCTGGGCTCTCTACCTTCCTCATTCCTCTGATATCCTCCCCAACTTCTCGCTGGATTTTGAAGGAGTGAGGGGGGAGGGTCGTGACAAGGAAATTGCAATAGAAAACTTCTTTCTTGTCTGTCAGCTACAAGCCCATCGTGGAGTACATCGACAAGCAGTTTGAGAACTTTCTCCAGGAAGAACTCAAGATCAAGCGAGCTCTTCACTCCTACCATGACACCCGCATCCACGCCTGCCTGTACTTCATTGCTCCCACCGGCCACTCCCTGAAATCCCTGGACCTGGTCACCATGAAGAAGCTGGACAGCAAGGTCAATATCATTCCTGTCATTGCCAAGGCTGACACCATATCCAAGAGTGAGCTTCACAAATTCAAGATTAAGGTAAGGCAGCGGTAGATAGATGGCATCCATGCATTAGTGCCTCATAAATTGGTGGAAAGAGAGACAGACTGGCTGGTTCCCAGACCGAAAGATTCCAACTCTCCGAGAGAATCTGCAGATTTGGTGGCCGTCATGGTCATGTGACCAAATTCCTCGCATTTCCACTAATTTCTAGTGTTGTCTGAGGGGCCCCCTAACGAACAGCTGCCTCTTCCCTCCTCCCCCAGCAAAAACCAAAAGCATCAAAATTATCTTCTATTCTTATGGCCCCCCCCCAAATGGTACTGTGGCCCTCTAATGCCTGAAGCTGGTGACTGGCTTGTATTTTGGTAAAGAAGGTACCTGTCCAAACAGTAGAGACATCAAGGGTTGTTACAGCAGAGAACCAGTCTGTGCCATTGTTACTGTATGGCCTGGCACCCAGACCGAGCCCCTGTGGATTTGCGCACAGTGGTGCATACTCCGGAGCAAAGCGCCCTCTCTTGTTCATTCATGGCATCCACGCTTCATACAACTTGGCAGAAAGAAACAAGTTCAACTGGTTCTAGTTTATTTTATACTGTCGAGCCATTTAACAACATATTCAAAGGACAGCTTGTCCACACCTTAATGCGTTGATGTATTCTCGTACAATTAATTTTGTTCTCTGCAGATAATGAGCGAACTTGTGAGCAATGGGGTACAGATCTACCAGTTCCCTACTGATGATGAGACAGTCTCTGATCTCAACTCAACCATGAATGTAAGTCTGGTAACCTGTGCACATTATTTGTTCTATTCATTGGAGGATGTTGGTTTTCCTGCACAAATGCTTTCTCTAAGCAGAAACCAGTCACCAATGTTACATGCTGCATATTGGATATAACTGGTCCCTTGACTCATGTTTACTTAAACACTGCATTTTTTATGTATTTTTCTGCTTAGAACCCCATATAATTTAGCCCAGCATGGCATTTGGAAATTAGAAATTGGAGAGATTAAAATCCTACCACCTGGTACGGCTGAAAGTTGAATTCATGTCTGATTCTGTCGTCAGGGCCATCTGCCTTTTGCTGTAGTGGGTAGCACAGAGGAAGTGAAGATGGGGAACAAGATGGTTCGTGCCAGGCAATACCCATGGGGCGTAGTACAAGGTAGGGTTGTATGGATTGCAGTGGCCACTGCTCAACCTGATTGTCAGGACAAAATAACTCACCTTCACAGATGCAGCAAGGTATGAGACGGAG